AGTTAAAAAACGTGATTTTTCTGCCAGTTACGCTACAACTCGGCGAGTCCTCATATGCACTCGGCGAGTAACTCATTATTCTACTTTCGAGTTCACGATTTGACCACATTTGATACGGGCATTAGTCATATTCTTTGAAGATTATTTCCTGAGCATTTCCAAGAGTTTTTCTTCCATATTTGGAGCTGTCAACCACACGATATTTGATACCCAAGGCATGGATGAGCTGTTCCCATGTCTAAAGTCAGTTGAAGATGGAGCTTTACATGAAGACGATCAACCTTGCAACTACTATCCCAGGGGAGTTTGTTCCAATTCCCTCTTTATTTTATTGTTTTTTTTATCATGCATAATATGCAATGGGGACATTGCATAAATTAAGTGTGAGGTAGGGGGTTGGTTACATTTAGTCCAAATTTAGAATCTTAATTTTTAAAAAATTTTGCATAAAAATTGCTAGGGTTTAATTTATAAAACTTTGGTAAAAGCAATCAGGGTTCATGCTAGTATTATGTTTGATGATTCTATGAGGACCCAAATGTTTAGTTGAGCCTATACACGTTATAATGCATTTGTGGCCCCTCTTATTCTAGTGAAATCATGGGACAAAAACACTACCTCGCTTAGTTTGAGGGACGCAACATGTTTAGCATCGTGTACTTGAAATGTATCCAGGAAGACTAGTACCTTTAACCAATAAGGGTTGAAGTTAAGCTCCCTTGCGTAAGCATGTAGGGAATGAGTGAAAAAAGTGAGATATTATTAAAAAAGAGAGAGAGAGAAATTACCAAAAAGTTGGAAGAGTTTTGGAGCTATAAAAGAATAAAATTGAAGATTAAAATTCTAAAGAATTCAAAAGTTGAAGATACAAAAAATTAAACAAAAAGGTGGTGAATTCAAGAAATCAAAGATCAAATGTTCAAGAAAGTGAAGAATTCAAGAGCTCCATTGTGGTACAAAAGTGTAATTTTTCTAGATTATGTGTGCTTGGGTAGCTTAACCAAAAATACCTTGAGGTTAAGAGAGTTTTTTGCGGATGGATTCGGAGGGATGCATAAAATGAGCGTTGTTCAAAAGAAGTGGGCGAGTGTTTATGAGGATTATAAGTATTTAGAATTGAGGGGGGGG